TGCCATGGGGTTGATTTGGCAGCAAAGCTGACCCAGTCACTTTGGCCCGCTGGTTACTCCCAGCCCCATCATTTAGTGCTGCCCCAGGTGTGGGATTTGTTTTGTCCCGGTGCTAACCCATCATTATGTGGTTGGAGAGGCTGGAGGGAGCTGTGGCTGTGGAGGAGCTGTGCAGGGTCACTCCCGGTGCTCACTGCTGCTTGCAGGAGCAACTGCCTGGGACTCTGGGGCAGGGCTGGCAGGGCCTCGCTCGCTGCATCTGTCCAGAGTGTCTGCTTGGTGCCCTGTGCCACCCCCTCCCGTGCCATCCCCTCCTGCAGCCCTGCCTAGTGCCCTGTGCCATCCCCTCCTGTACCATCCCCCCACAGCCCTGCTCGGAGTGCTGTGCAGGGCAGTGACACAGGGTGACAGCTGCACTGCCAGGGGCACCCAGGCCGCATGGGACAGCCTGGGTGGGTGTCAGGCTGCAGCGGAGACTTGCCATGGGGAGATGTCCTTGTTGCCTTCCCAAGTAAAGTCAGTGGCTTTGTTGCTGCCTCGTCATTTCCAGCCTTGGTGGCAGCAGAGGACTTTGCTGGCCTCACTTTTTGGGTATGTTCCCACTGGGCACAAGTCCAGCACAGTAGAACTGCCATTGTGGACCCCTGTGCTCACACAACTCCTTCTCTTCCGTGGGATGGATGTCTGGGGTCTGCAGTGTTTTCAGGAGTTGTTCCTTTGACTGGGCATCAGCAAAGCCCCCCAGCTCCTCGGGGTTGGCATCCCTCAGGTGTTCTCCACTGGTTAAGAATGAGCTCCTGCAGGAGGAATCACACAGTCCTGCCTGGTGTTGTGGCAGCTCGGAGGTGCTCCTGAGGGCTGTGCTCCCTCTGGCACTGTCTCTGCTGTCCGTGGCGGTTGGCACTGTATGGGCACTGTCCGAGCATGGGGCTGCAAGCTGTGCTATTGGCAGTGCTGAGGGACAGACACACAGCTCTGCTCTGCCCTCGTCCTCAGGAGCTCTTTGCGGAGTTCGGGACCCTGAAGAAGGCAGCTGTGCACTACGACCGGTCCGGCCGCAGCCTCGGCACGGCAGACGTGCATTTCGAGAGGAAGGCCGACGCACTGAAGGCCATGAAGCAGTACAACGGCGTCCCCTTGGACGGTGAGCCTGCCTGCCTGGGGGGCCTCTCTGTGCCTGGAGCAGCCCATGTGCCCGTGTCCCTCCCGTGTCCATGTCCCCTTGTGCCTGTGTCCACCGTGCCCCTGTGTTCCTCTCATGTGCCCATGTCCCTCCCGTGCCTGTGTCCCTCCTGTGCCTGTTTATGTCCTGTGTCCTTCCCATCCCATGCGTTCCTCCTGTGCCCGTGTCCCCCGTGCCCGTGTCCGTCCCGCTCTCATGACCACTGTCCCTGCAGGACGCCCCATGAACATCCAGCTGGTGACATCACAGATTGACACGCAGAGGAGACCAGCACAGAGGTGAGGGAGCCCCTGTGGAGGCTGAGGGGGCACTGGGCCCCTCCTCGGAGGGCTGTGTGGGCCCTGCTGGGCTCGCTGGGTGCACTAAAGTTGTTGGTTTTTCAACCCACAGTGTAAACAGAGGTGGCATGACCAGAACCCGCGGGGTCTCAGGGGGGTTCGGCGGTGGGGGAGGCGAGGGACTCGTGGCGGGAACAGGGGCAGAGGCAGAGGAGCTGGGAGAACCTCCAAACAGCAGCTCTCCGCAGAAGAACTAGATGCACAGCTGGATGCTTACAATGCCAGGGTGAGTGCTGCTGAGGGGTGTCCTGGGGGGCACTGGAAGCACAGAACCCACGGGAAGGGGAGGGCGTTTTCCAGCCTGAAGCTGAGCTGGGACTTGCCTTTGCTTTCCTGAGCACTTTGTGGCCTGCTGTTGCCAATGGCAAAGGAACAGCTGTGCTCCTGCTGGGCTGGGACAGCTCCTCCACAGCCAGAGCAGCTGCAGGACAAAGCCTGCAGAGCTGATAGGCTGCAGGAATGGGACAGCAGAAAGGAAAATCCCATGTGAGAGGACTGTGTGGGATGCTGCTGGAGAAGGGTGTGATGCTGGTGGCAGAAATGAGCCCCAGTGAGGGGAGCTGTGTGTGGGTCATGGCTTTCAGAGACCCCACTGAGCCTCTGTGCCAGGGCGAAATCCCAGCAGAGCCGAGGGCAGAAGTGGTGCACGGCTGGGATACAGTCAGAGCAAGAGCATGGGAGAAATGGGATGAGCAGGATTCTGGAAGAAGCTGTGGGGCAGTTCCTGGTCCTGCCCAGTGCAGTGAGCTGTGCTGGGTCAGCCATGCCCAGGGCTGGTGGGAGCTCTCAGGCTGTGGGCCAGGCAGGCTGGGGGGGTCAGACCTGCCTGTCCCTGTCTGGCAAGGGCAGAGTAACAGTGGAGGGACAGGTGAGCTGGGGTGCTGAGGGTGCCGTGAGGGTGCTGCGGGTGCCAAGAGTGTACTGTGAGGTGCTGTGGGAGTTGAGGGGGTGCTGTGGGAGCTGTGAGGGTGCCAAGGGGCACCTGCTGACCACTCCCCCACCTCTGCAGATGGACACCAGCTAAAGCGGCGGCGGCATAGGAAGGACTCCGATCTCGCTCCACGGGGCTGCGGCTGTGGCTACTAATACCGAGGATGGGATTTGTTTTACTTTTATGTTCTGGGATAGGTTTTAAACTCCTGTAAAGGTTTTTTTTAATTCCGAGCAGACCTGTTTTGTACCGAGTTATTTTTGGGATAAATTTTTCTGGTGGCCTGTTGGGCCGAGGTGGCTTTTTCACCTTTGCCGTAATAAAATAGAATCGTGTCTAGAGCTGTGCTCACTCCTTCCCTCACCGCACCCGGTCTGCCCCACTCTGTTCCTGCTCTCCGGGAAGCTCTGCCCATGGTCCTTCCCTGTCCCGGTCCTGTTCCCAGTTCTGCTCCGTCCCTGCCCTCCGTTAGCCTCTAGTTGCGAT